CCCACATCTGACAGAGGGTTGATTTCCAAAATTTACAAAGAATTCAAGAAGCAAGTCTCCAAAACACCAAAGAATCCAATTAAAAAGTGAGCTGCAGAAGTAATTAGAGAATTTTCAATAGAAGAGTCTAAAACGGCCGAGAGGCACTTGAGAAAGTGCTCAACATCCTTAGCCATCTGGGAAATGCAAATCAAAACAACTCTGAGATAACATTTCACTCCTGTCAGAATGGCTAAAATCAAAAACACCAATGACAATTTATGCTGGAGAGGATGTGGTGAAAGGGGAACACTCCTCCATTCCTGGTTGGAGTGCCAACTGGTTCAGCCACTTTGGAAATCAGTATGGAGATTCCTCAGAAAAATGGGAATATACCTACCACAAGACCCAGCTACTCCACTCTTAGGCATATATCCAAAAGATGCCCATTCATACAACAAGGATGTCTATTCCACTATGTTCATAGCTGCATTATTTGTAATAGCCAGAACTTGGAAGCAACCTAGATGTCCCTCAACCGAAGAGTGGATAAAAGTTGCAAGGTCTGATTACACCAAATTTTCAGTACCGACTTATAAATATTCAACCAGGTTAGCATGATACACCTGAAAATTGTTTTCAAATATAGCTCATGATTATGCTGAGAAAGTGAAAAGACAAATATCTTAACCTTGTAAGATTAAATGGACCAACATTCACCAATAACGTATGGAGTCCCTAAACTTAATATATCAATTAGCTCAAGTAGCAGGATATTGACCACCTAACTAACACGTCTGTCCTTGTCCACTTACTCAGGCACTTCTGCAGTCTTTGGGTCCAAACTGATGATCAAAAAGACAAACAAGCAGGGGTAGCAATCCTAATATCTAACAAACTAGACTTTAAAATAAAATCAATCAAAAGAGATGAAGGAGGTCATTACATACTCATCACAGGTGAAACTCACCAAGATGAAGCGTCTATCCTGAACATCTATGCCCCAAATAAAAAGGCATCCACATTCGTAAAAGAAACATTATTAGAACTCAAATCACATATAAAGCCCCACACAGTTATAGTTGGAGATTTCAACACACCACTCTCACCACTAGACAGGAATACCAGACAGAAACTCAACAAAGAAGCAAAGGGTCTAATAGAAGTAATGACCCAACTGGGATTAACAGATATCTATACAACATTTCATCCACATAAAAAAGAATATACCTTCTCACCACCACATGGAACCTTCTCAAAAATCAACCACATACTAGGCAACATATACATTCCTGGTGGGAGTGCCAACTGGTTCAGCCACTTTGGAAATCAGTATGGAGATTCCTCAGAAAAATGGGAATAAACCTACCACAAGACCCAGCAACTCCACTCTTAGGCATATATCCAAAAGATGCCCATTCATACAACAAAGATGTCTGTTCCACTATGTTCATAGCAGCTTTATTTGTAATAGCCAGAACTTGGAAGCAACCTAGATGTCCCTCAACCGAAGAGTGGATAGAGAAAATGTGGTATATTTACACAATGGAGTACTATTCAGCAGAGAAAAACAATGGAATCATGAGATTCACAGGCAAATGGATGACACTAGAAGAAACCATCCTGAGTGAGGTAACACAGTCACAAAAAGAGAAACATGACATGTACTCTCTCACATATGGATTTTAGACATAGATCTGGGGAGTGCCAGCCTACAATCCTATGGCCAGAGAGTCTGGGAAAAAGAAACTTCATTTAGTGGCTGATCAAAGAAGAGGCAGACTCCCTCGGTTAAGTACTGAGCTGAACTCAAGAAAGCCAGTAACAGAGAGGGAGGACTGATGGTCAAAGGGATTAAGACTGGGCTGGTTTAACCCCCAGAAACAGCTGACCAGACAAAGGTTAACTCTTGAATCCCAGGCATCAGCCTGGGAATCCAGCATGGGACTGATCAAGACCCCCTGAATGTGGGTGTCAGTGAGGAGGCCTAGGTAATCTATTGAGCCTTGGGCAGCAGATCAGTACCCATCCCAAGTATACACAAGGACTTTGGACTCCCATCCAACAATGTGAGGTGCACTCTCACCCTGAAATCTTGGGGAAGGATCTAAGCCCTGCCTCATATGAAATGACAGACTATGGACAACCCAATGGAGGGCCTGACCCTCCCTGGGGAAATGAGGGGATAATGGGGGGGGGGTTGGGGGAGGGCACGGGAGGAGGGGAGGGAAAGGGAGAGGGACCTGGAACTGGCATGTGAAGCAACCTTGTTTCTTATCTAAATTTAAACTGGAAAATAAAATAAAAAATAAATAAATAAAAAGAAATGTTACTCATTAAAACATTAACAGATTTTCAATGTTTGTGGTTATGTTGTATATTTTCTTTAAATTTCACATCATGTTCAATCTGACATATGTCTGTAATTTGTTACAGAAACTTTTCTGTCACTAAACTATGTGTCAGAAGGAAATATAGATGGTACTTATAATCCTGCCAATCTCTAAAGTTTGTCTTTTTCAAAATTTGTTAGCCAAAGGTAAATTTGTGTCTTGATTTGTGTATTTTTTTTTTTTGGTTTTTACCAGACAGGGTTTCTCTGTATTGTTTTGGAGGCTATCTGTCCAGCCCGGCCTCGAACTCACAGAGATCTGCCTGCCTCTGCCTCGCTAGTGCTGGGATTAAAGGCGTGCGCCACCACCGCCCAGCCTTATTTTGTGTTTTAATACAAAAAAAAAAAGACAAACACAACTGAACTCTTTAAACATATATTCTATCTGGAAAAGGTACATGACACAAACAGAGCTCATGAACACTGTGAAGCCAATGAGCAGGTGACCTGCGCTATAAAAAGGAAAAATTACCAGAGGCCGAAGAGGCTGAGGGAGAGCAGGTCCTGGGGAAGGAGATTCGTGTCAAAGGCAGACAGACATCTAGGAAAACACTCATTCTTGTGTTAATTCATGCTACGATGTGCTGTTTTGGATTACAATTCCAGTTTTTGTCCTGTCCATCAGGATTTATGTCCCTCCCACATGATTTCCAACAATGTTTCCTTGCAGAAACTCACCTTTAGATGCAAGTTTCACTTCAGGTTGATCTGAAAATGAGTTTTCCAGTTACTCAAACTATTTTCAGTTGAACTGATATGGTTGATGAATAATTCTGTAGTAAACTCCTGAAAATTCACTACCTCTTGATTGTAGTTATATAAATTTATTACTATATTTCAGAAAATTAAATCTAGTTTTGTTCACTAACTGCTACCAATAATTGCCATTATGTAACTTATATTGTAGCATACCATTTCATTATTTTGTGTATTTTTGTTATTAAATTTGTTTTATTTTACATACTAACCACAGTTTTCACTTGATCCTTTTCTCTGGTTCCCTCCCCCAATCTTCTTTATACCCAGCCATCCACTACTCAGAAAATGTAAGTCCTCTCATGCATGGCTACAAAGCATGACATGTGAAGCTGAGGCAGGACCAAGCTCTTCTATCCTACATCAAGACTGAGTGAGGCATCCCACAATAAGGAATAGGTTCCAAAAAGTCAACTCATGTGTGAGGGACATGCTAGGGGCCCCACAAGCAAACCAAACTACACAAGTGTCACCCACATGCAGAATGCCTAAGTCAGTCAATGCACCCTCACAAACTGTTGTTCCAGACTTCATGAACTCCACATCCTCTGGTCAGGTATTGCTATGGTTTCATCCATCATGATCTTGACCTTTTCCACTTGCCACCCCTCCCCACTCATATAGTCTCTCCTCCATCTCTTCTCCTGGACTCCTAGGGCTTGGCCCAGTGGATCTCTGAATCTGCTTCCATTAGTTACTGGGTGAAGGTTCTATGATGACCATTAGTGTGGTAACCAATCTGATTACAAAAGGCCAGTTCACACACTTTCCACTATTTGGGGTCATTCTTGTGGTTTTCTGGGAGTTACCATGGCTCTGGGTTTCTCTCTAACCCCACAATGGCCCATTCTCTCAAGATATCTATTTCATTGCTTTCCCACTACATCCCTCCCCCAACTCAGCCTCCCCTATCTCCCTGGAGATCTCATTACTTCCCCTTCCCCAGCAATCACTGTTCTTCTAAGGGTTCTCCTTTGTTACCTGGCTTCTCTAGGACTGTGGATTGTAGTCTGGTTATCCATTGCTTTGTGCCTAATATCCACTTATGAGTGATTACATACTATGTTTGCCTTTCTGGGTCTATGTTACTTCATTCAGGATGATTTTTCTCTAGTCCCATCCATTTGGCTGCACATTTCACAATGTCATTACTCTTTTTAAACCACTGAATAAAAACTCCATTGTGTAAATGTACCACATTTTCTTTATCCATTTTTCAGTTGAGAGTCTTCTAGGTTGTTTCCAGGGTTTGGCTATTATGAATAATGCTGTTCTGAACATTGTTGACCAAGTGTTCTTGTAGAATTATTGAGCAAACTTTGGGTATATGCCCAACAATGATATCAGTGGATCTTGAGGTAGATCAATTCCCAGTATTCCGAGAAACTGCCAAATTGATTTCCAAAGTTGCTGAACAAATTTGCACTCCTCCTAGCAGTGTAGGAGTGTTCCTCTTACTCCACATCCTCTCCAACATAAGCTGTAATCAGTATTTTTGATCTCATCCATTCTCAAACGTGTAAGATAGTATCTCAGAGTCACTTTGACTTACATTTCCCTGATGACCAAAGATGTTGAGCAATTCCTTAAATGTATCAGTCATTTGAAGTTCTTAAGCTGAAAATTCTGTTTAGTCCCCATTTTTAATAGCAGGTCTGTGATAATTGTGGTAACATTGTTAACATTCCCTGAAGCAGGACAATACATTCAACCCTACCTAGGGTTTTAAAACTTATTTCCCTCTTGCTCTAGCAGTGAGTGGCCTTGGGGCAATCTGACAGAGTATATAGAAAGCAGTAAGTAAACTGAGACCAGGACTTCAGTACAGCAGCATTTTCCAGTGTGCCATCTACCATCGTAGAAGTTTTCTGAGATGCGATTGTCTTTGAGTCAACCTTGCTTCTGTAAGTAAACTCTCACTAATGCTTTTTATCAGCAAATCTGCTAAATCCATCAATTCTTCAAGGTTATTAGATGGTACAATTTCCTGAAAATCCTATCTTGAGTACCTGATGTTAATAGATATATTTAGTTAAAAAGTATCATAACAAGGATTAGGAAAAAATTGCAATTTAGAAGTAACATGTTTAAGGGCAAAGTAGACCACTAAGAACAGTTTTTAGACATGGGAATTCTCTCTTTCTCCTTGATAGGAGATATAGCTAAGATGATTCAGCATCTTGGACTAAAAGAAGCAAGAGGATGGGGAAAGGCACATGATGAAGTTGAAGTTTATAATTTAAATTCTGATTCTAAAAAGACAGCTCACCCATTAATTTTGGCAAACCTGCCATCCAAGTATATTTAGAAAATTTCAAGTCAATTAGATATTTAATTTCAAAAAATAAAAATATCACATAGACACATAAGCACATAAAAGAAGGGATATTACTGTGTATATGTAGATACGAATTTTTATGTGCAGAAAATATAGAATCATCATCTTTATGGGAAATACAGTGTATGACTTATGTATTAATGACTTTAGTATGCAGACAAAATGGATTTTCATTATACTGTATACTAAAGAATTTTTAGATCTATTCACTGATGAGTGTTTGGATTTAAGTGTTCTTCAAACAGAAATCTTTAACATTGCCTTGGTAAATGGACTCACATTTAGTGAATCATGAAAGATGGTGTGGAATTTAGATTTCTGAAAAATCACATTTTTTTACTTCAGAAATTATTTAGGAAACTATCAAAAAATTTACAAACTAATTTTAACTTGTTTTCTATACCCTGCTTCTTTTGTGTTGAGAGGTAAACTGTGGACTGGAGATCTGTCTGTCTGTGTAATTATGAAATTAGGGAGGATTTCCACTGTAATCAGTGTCAAAAGTGTGAAGATGACATTGTATATAGCAAAAAAATGTAGTGTAGAATGATAATTACTAGGGCTTCCATGCTGATGGGTAAAGTTGAGGCTTTAGAAGCAACAACATCTATGGAACTGAATCTCAAAACCATGAATGAGGTTCTCTGCTACACAGACACTCAAGATCTCCCAGGTATGTCAGACCCATCCATGTGTAGTAAAGAGTACACAGTACTGGTATTCTGCCATCAGCATTTATTAATAGGACTTAGCAAAAATCATATGATCTTGTAAGATTCCCTTTCATCAGTACTGCTTGGTAATATTTAATAAGTCAACTGTACTCACAGGTTATTGTAAACTTCAACTACATAGAAAGCACTATCTGCCAGTTTGGTAAAATAGCACTGCATGGCTTTATTGTGAGTTAGCAAATCAAACATACAGTACCCTTTCATGACTGGATTCTCTTTGCTCTTGTTATTAGACACCAGACAATCATGTGTTTACGCTTATCAGGCACGAAGATACAACAAACATATTTATTAAGTGTGCTGTCCCTTCCAAAATGCAAACACTACATGATGAGTTAGAGACAAAGTCTTGGGGAATCATAATACTGAAAATCATGATAAATTCACAACATTAATCTGCCAGTGGTGAATGATTTTAAAAGGCTCACTAAGAGGGCCACTTTAATTGCTGGTTCTGCAGCTTTATGTTCTCTTTGTAGACGTAACTATTTGTAGGTAAAGGTTGTGGTTCTCTGGGGTTTCAGGAAACAAGTCTCAAATTCATTTAGGAATTCAACTTTGAATACTTCTCCATGTCAGAAGAGGTTTAGGAAACTGTACCAATGAGTGGAGAGTACAGTGAAGATGATGCAATGCAATAGACAGGAAAGATGAAGAGGATGGTGAAAAGTTGGCTAAAAAAACCAAAAGGAGAAAAACATAGGCTCAGAGAATTTCAGACTAGAACAGAAAACAAAGTAGTCTTTTTGTGTAGTGGAACCAAGAGAAAAAACACACTCTAGTTCACAAGATAAGACAGCATAGGAAACTAGAGACCAGTTGAAGTCAACTGGTGACCAGAGCAGATAATCTAAAGAAACCCAAGGAAATAGAAAGGGAAAAATCACAAAAGAGTTTGACTTTGCTGGTAATGTAGTGAGAGTGACTAAGGAAGTAGATTCTGCATCCAAAGAAGTCAAACACTTCCTCAAGCAAGATGAGAAAGAAAAACCAGAGGCCAATTGTCTCTCCAGCTGCCGTCACTCTGGACAGGTAAGTATACAAACATTAAGTGATGTGGGCAACCAGTCCTTGGAGCCACAAACAAAACAAAACAAAAACAGAAAATGAACACTCTTGAGAAGTTCAAATTGAACTGGGAGAACTTCAAGTAGGAAGAAAGGATTGGGGAGGCATTGGCCATATAAACCTGAGTGTAAAGGGTACATTGAACAGAACAATTTCTAGATTGAGTAGACCACAGGCAATTTGAAATTAGCAGAAGTCTCAGGATGAAAAAATGAATCTTTGACATTCTGGGTAGCAGCTTCATCTTGTAGATGATGTAAGCTCTTCTGTATGCCTGTGAACTATCTCCAGTGTTTATAATTTTTCCCAGTGAATCCTTTTTTCTATATTGCAGTTTGGTTTATTTATCTTAATCTCACATTAGGTTCATTTGGATAACAATTCAAAAACTTGGCAAATAGCTAACTTTTTTATACAGCTATATAAATTAATTGTTTAATTGACTATTTCAGTAGTAGATATTTAGTTACTACTACACATATTCAAGGACACCTGCATAGATTATATTAATGATGGTAACCTCTGTTGAATGAATATCATGCTAGCTTCTGTTTCTATATAGCAGGGACACTCCTGATGCTGATGGTGTTGAACCTCTTCCTATGGAAGAAGGTAGCCTCTGTTCCCATGCATGCCATTTTGCCTGACCATGAAGTGATGTCTCTAAATGACCTTCTTGATCATGCCATCACACTGTCGTATAATATCACAGAGCTCACTGCAGAAACTCAAAGGATTTTTGTAAGTACCTCACTTACACTTGACTCCTTTACAAAATGAACATTCAAGCCAGCAGTTTCAAAAACCCTGTAATTTACCACAAAGCATGTTGCAGCAGAATTACATAACATCTACCATCAGCAAAAGAAATAATCCTTAACTGAGAAAGTGAGAAATCATAGAGGAGCTTCTTGAAATCTCAAATAAAGTAGAAAAGGGCAGAACTATTTGGGAGGTTAGCTGGTACTGGATGGGATGGGTGGGAAATGGTTACAGAATTAATGTGGAAAAAGTCAGTGGAAATATCAGTTTGAGGACTTCAGGATCCCCAAAACTGACAAAAATCAATGAATTATAACATGTGTCAGTAAATCCAGTGCTACTACAGTGTGACAGGAAATTGTAACAGGTTGATTCCTGGCAGTGCCAATCCAGCTAATTCTTGTATGCTATGGCAAAGAAAAAGAGATGACATCTCAAAGAAGATAGAATGAAAGGACCAAAATCTGAAGACAACCTTTGATCTGCCTCCTTCCCTATATCTCTCAACACAAACACAAAGATGTGTCTCTGTGTGTCTCTGTATGTGTATTTATATATTTATAAACATATAACAAATATATTAATATTCTGGTTATGGAATAAGTTACTCATGTCCAAATTAAAATGGATTTTTTTCTAGCTGCATGATGTGCAATATAAACCAACCCGGTGGTTCCCCGAAAGAGACCTTACTGGCTGCCACACATCTGTCTTTTCTGTTTCAATGCCTAAGGATGGAGCCCAACAGATCCAGGTGAGTACATCTTCTGCTTTAAGCTGAAGGATTAAGATGAAGGTGGTTATGGGTAAGAAAATAGTTATGGCGATCACACATTCAGAAGAATGAAGGAGGAGGGAATAATCAAAGAAAAATCGCATTATACAATTGATAAATTATAACTGAGGGTTAAATAATGTTGTTATAGAACCATAAACTATGCATGCAGGTGAACTATTTTACCAATGCCTAACGGGTAGGATTCTAGTTATTATTTTATAGGATACTTTGAACTAAACTGCACACATGCTTAAAAATATTCATAATTACTTATAGGAAATGCAAATGCAGTTTCATTCATTATACATATGAAATACTACTGTGTTTGCTGCTGTATATTACTAATGAAAAAGAAATCTCCTGTTGACTTTCAAGGTCTTCCTGGTTGCATCAAACCTGAACATCCATTCCTCAGTAAATTATCCATCTTTGCCCAAGTCTTAAATGAAAGTCAGCTGAAAAAAAGTTTCCTGCAAAACACTACAGTTCACAGGATATAACTATGTACTCATTTGTGATGATAAGGTTCATGTATCAAAACTTTCTGATTCTCTGCTTTAATAAAACACATCTGTAGTTGATGCCATATCATAATGTCAAAATGTTGACCACTAGTAGATCCATGGAATCCAGTCTAGTATTTGTTGTAATTACCAAGAGAATAAATATCAGACAGAAACACAGCATCAGTTTATTCAGAGATGAGTTTCATAAATGACCTTGGCAGTGAGCACACCTGGGAAATCAAATTTTCTTGTGTTTTCCATCAGTCTACTTGTTAAAGGCAGTGCTGTTCCACTGATCTTCACAAGTACTTGGTCACACATAGATTTCTCAGTGAGAGAGAAGGGTTGTGTTTCATGCAGCATGAGAAAAGCATCCATATAAAGACCTGTTTATCATTGATGAATTTTTGTTCCACTGACTTAAAGTAAATGAAAAAATGAGTACATTAGTGAAGATTCTGGTATTTTATTATAAAAACATTCCTATAAGAAAATATTTGGGCTACTTGCCACTGAAGTGCAGTGCTGGTATCAATTTTATATGAAACATGTCCTATGACCACCTACTCAGATTCCAGAGATACTTGTTTACTTGTGGAGAAACAAATAAATGTAAAAAAATTCAAAGATTACTTCTTAGATAAGGAGGACAGATGATAGAAATTCAGATGGATACAGGAATATTATAAGACATATTTACCATAAGAAAAAGTAGCTAATCAAATATGATACTTTTAATGTTACTCCCTCAAACTATAGACAAATGATTAAATTTCAAATTCCCATGGCAAATGACATCTACATAAATATAATAAATGGATATTTAGTCCAGGTTATTTGAGCATATACCATATAGTCTAACTCTGATATACTTGACCAATTTTTATACAATTGTTTAATTATGGGTATTCAGGGTATATTCCTTCTGAAAGAGACGATCGGTTTGTTGGGAGCTTGGAAAGACCCTCTGCATCACATCGCAACTGAGCTAAGTTATATGGAAGAAGTTCCCACTGATATCATATCGAGAGCCAAAAACATTGAAGCAAAAATCAAAGAACTTCTAGAGGCTCTGAAGAGGATCCTCAGAAAGGTATGCACTCTTCTTATATTCCTTTGCTTTTCTTGTTCATCAGAAAAGTGACCACTGCAGTGCAGAAATACCTTATTTTACATAACAGAATTTAATGATCCAGTGTAACAGATATCCTCTGTACTAAAGCTTCACTGGTGGTACTATTCCTCTAGGGGGCTTTACTAAGTTTTTACACATCAGGCATCTCAATTCAAAGTAGGTGCTCTTTATAGTCCTTCGAGCAACTATGTTTCCTTGGCAAAAGGAAAGACTCCTAACATCACAAGATCTCCTCATCACAACCATCCCCGGACCATCTACACCTGAAAACACCAGGTACAGTCCTGACTAAGCCTGAGATTTCCATGTGGAAAATAGATTTAGTTGAAAAACACAGAAACACAGTGGTTCCCTTGAGGATCAGGGAAGCATAGTTCTTGGGGCATTGCTGAGAACATGTTTGAACTCCCTCATGAAAGAACTGACATTGTCCAATGGTAAAGTCAAAATCCACAGGCTAGTAGTAATTTCCTGCTCCTCTACCTGCCTTGTATGTAAGAAATACTTAAGTTGGTACCTACTATATACAGGAAGTGTATTCAAGAGTCTCTCTTGTATAATTTTCATGGCTAATACATTTACACTACTCTGGAACACAAACATTAAAACTTATGCCATTGTCTGTGATTTCACAATTCTAACTTCATCCCAAGAGTTCATTCCACATTTATAATGAATAACATGAAGCAAACAATAGTAAATGATAAATGAATGTCTTTTGTGATTAGATTCAACCTGGATTCCCAGAAAGTTATGCATACCCCACCTGGAATGGACTGATATCCTTGCAGTCACCTGATGAAGACACTCGTTTTTTTGCCTTGTTTAACTTATTCCAGTGCCTGACCAAGGATTCACGCAAGGTTCCCTCTAATCTCAGGCATTTACAGTGCCAACTTCTCTACAAAACAATTTGTTAATCTTCCAGCCCTCAAAACTAATTGTGATGTGTTATTTGTTATTCTGTCTTAGTTTAAAGAAATTTTAATTTGTAACTTTGAATGCATGTTTGTCTGCAATGGATTCTTCATTAAAAATAAAAATAGACTCTTTATACCTGCTATTATCTAAAAACCAACTTTCTTGACATTTCATTTTCCCTGAAATACAAGTACATCACTAATATAGAGATGTAGGAAATATATCACTAGCACAAAAATATAGGTAATGAATCCTTCTCTCTCCTGCCAGCCAGTTCCCAAATAATAACTCAGAATTAATACTAATTATGAAAACACAGCCTACAGCTAAGAATTGTTCTTATCTAGTTCTTAGAACTTAAATTAGCCTGTTGCAGCCGGGCGGTGGTGGTGCACACCTTTAATCCCAGCACTCGGGAGGCAGAGGCAGGCGGATCTCTGTGAGTTCGAGGCCGGGCTGGACCGACAGCCTCCAAAACAATACAGAGAAACCCTGTCTCGTAAAAACAAAAAAAATTAACCTGTTGTTACCAATCTATATTTTGTCTCATGACTTTTTACCTTTCTTTCATTATGTATCTGACTCCCTTTGTGTCTTATTGGTGTTGCCCTCATGAACTCAGATTCATCCTCAGTACCTCTCCTTCAACCAGAAGTCCTGCCTATCTCTCCTGCTTATCTTCTGGCTGTTCAGCTTTATCTTATACCAATCAGAGCAATACATATTGAGACATTTACAAATATTCCACAAGAATTATCATTAACAGAAGATTGATTGCAAATAAGACAATTCCCACTTTACTTAGAATCACAGCAAGTCAACTTGGGTCACCTTATTAAAGCAAGGTGATAATGTGATTAGTTAATGGGTCTATATACCAAGAATAAGAAAAGCCCTGGATTCTTTTTTTTAAAAGGGCATACACTGTATATAGGACAAATTTCATTATGAAATGATTAACAGTACAAATACAACAAAACTGCTCTATGTACAAATGCCATTAATTTTTTAAACAGTGCAGAAAGTATGAGGTTACAAACATACAATTGTCTTCTGTCATGCTCCCTAAATTTTTTCTTCAAATTTATCTTAGGCATACACCATGTGTTCTTTTCACAATTGTCTAACAAGAGTGTAGTTGTTGGTGTAGTTTCAAATTCATCTCATTCAAATTATATAGCACATTCCACTTGTCTTCTTGTGGCTCAAGTCACATGTTAAAGAAAAGCAAGATGATCTATCCCTAAAACATTTCTTTTCACCTTCTGCCACTGAATATACAATCACTTAATGTTCTTAAAATAGGATGGTAGATTAATAGAAATGAAAAAAGTATCCTATTATTAATTTGCTTAGTGAACTTGAACACATATCATTGACAAGGGCTCAACCTGAATTGGATCTATTTAAGCAGGAAAATCAACAGCACTCAATATACTACTGAACCCTTTCTAGAATCTCAACCACTTACCTTCCCGTTTATGAAACGGGATCAAAGTAAAACATGATATGCGCAATAAGTCACTAATATTAAGACTAAAAGAATTAACATGAATCAGTATTCGTCTATTTCAGCTAAAAGTAGAAATCAAACAAGTTTTCTCTGTTTTTCCCTAAGCATTCCTAATTGTTCTGTAGAACTATAATATGTACCTGGATTTTCTTGTCCTGCCAGGTTCCACAGTCGCTTCAGCCCCAAAAAAGCACACAAAGACTTACATTAATTGTTAAACTGTTGGCTGATGCTTAGGACTTCTTAAAGGCTAGTTCTCTCTTAATTATTAACTCATTTCTATTAATCTAAGTATTTCCACATGGTCGTCTTATCTTACTGGAGAAGGGTCCAGACCTCTTACGACTCCTTTCTCGGGTACATGGCCTCTTCTTGCCACAACTCTCTGCCTTTCCTTCCAACATTCTCCCTGTCTCCTAGCCCTGCCTATTTTCCTGCCTCTATTGGCCAAACAGTGTTTTATTCATCAATAAATAAGAGAAATATATATACAGAAGAACATCACCCATCATGAATAACTACAAATAGGCATGTTTTGAAGTCCATTGGCACTATGACTAATTGGGAAAACCTCTATAACTCTACAAGGAAGACATGGGGGAAAGATGCACATACTAGGGTGTGCCTGGAATTCTTGAGTCATGCGGATATTAGTTCACCATTCATTCTTCCTCATGGTCACAACATAATGAACTATACTTTAATAGGACCAATGTAACACCTTCAAGGTACCATGACCTAAAACCCCTTTCAACTGTTAGACAATTATACAATTTCACCTCTTAATCATATTTCCTCAATATCACAGCATGACTACTCACTTCACTTAATTTCAGTAAATAAATAAATAACGTAAATATCAAATTAAATGATGTAAACTTTTAGTACTTATTTTGTAAATTCCATTCTGGTTAGCACAATTTGTTTAACAATTATTTTTAAATGTAGTTCATGGTCATGCTGAGTGAATAAAAATGTCTTTTGTTTGTTTGTTTTTTGTTTTTTCAAGACAGGGTTCCTCTGTAGCTTTGGAAGCTGTCCTGAAACTAGCTCTTGTAGACCAGGCTGGTCTCAAACTCACAGAGTAAACTTTTCTCTGAGATTGTTAAATATTAGGTAATCATTTTTTCCCAGACATTTATCTGGGGGGAAGAAGGAGCAGGGGTCCAAACTATATCAGTGTCATGCTGCATTTCCCCACTGTTGTCCATAGAGTTCTGTCATTCTCCAAATCAGCAAGGCCAATTCTTCTAATTCATTACTCATTTTCAGGTAAGCAGAGAAAGACTTATTTCCCAATTCTTTTCCCTAGTTCTAGATCTTAATATGTCCACCATGTCTTCTGCAATGCTCCCTAATGGTACCAGTGAGGATGAATGCTTCCACTAATCCAACATATCTCCCCATAAATCAATTATTTCAAACACAAATCTCTTTCATTAACCATTAACACTATAAAATGTTTAGCTCAGTATCAACAGGTCTAAATACCATAATGCCTTCTCAGTCAGGATACTTTCAATTATGCTAGTGCATATAAGCAAAATGAAATCATTGGTTTTCCAAATATGGAATTTTATGCTACTTTACTTTATTCTATCATCATTCCTACATCTTCTATTGGTGAATGTGTGTTCATGTCTCATGGAGAGTATTAGTGTCATGCAATAATATCTATTTGGATTAAAGAGTGCTACTGTCTTTGTCTACTGAGGATAATATATTCAAAATATTAAATTCCTAGAATATACATGTGTGCGTTTAGAATGCATGTGATATTGGTGTGTCTCTCTGTGTGTTTCTCTCTATGTCTCTGTCTCTTTGTGTGTGTGTTTGTGTGTTTTGATTAGATGTGAATATAAGTTGATCAATTGTGAACATAATGTACATTATGGTTGTGTCAAGGTCTCACAAAAATCTGTGTCATCTCTTTTCTGGTATGCTGCTGGCACCACATACATGAGTCACTGGGTATGGATGAATTAAACCAGTACTGGCTTGGAATATTGATTCTTCTGGATAACATTCATACCATGTAGATTTATGATCCATTATGTGAGAGGAGAAATTGTTACCAATAGAATTAGTCAGGTTTCATTAACCCTGTGATCCCTTATACATTCTGTCATGCTATCATATGCCCATTTTAGCAATAGCAAAATAGTAGGATAGAATAGTAGGACTTGAGGCATATCTCACAAGATAAACATCATTTTTCTTTTTATGAACCAGGTCAAAATCTCTTATTTCCTCATGTCATAGGACTTAACGAAGGATTTGATGCTTTTATTCTGCTCAAAGAATTGTAATCAACTGTCCCATAAGTGCTTCTTTTCAGACATATAGATTTAGAAAACTCTCAGTTCTCATCAGAGAATATTCTCATATACTATGTAGTTATTTATTCAGAAGTTAATAACTGTTGAACACTGATAGGATGATTTACTGAAGAGTGTTCAACCTCCAGTGTCATAAATATACAGTGAGGCAATATACCAAGAAATAAAAGGGCCATTATGCTTACTTATTCCTAGTAGTTCTTTTTAAAGTTATAAGAACTGCATAAGATCAAACCAGAAGTAAATTCCATCATTACTGAAAAGGGACCTAATGAAGTCCTACAACTTTCAGAGCTGTTACTTGGGGTAATTTCTTATGGAAGAAAGACTATGAGTTTTCTACAAGGATGAAGGCTTTCAGAGACAGCCAGTGCTCAGGTAGATGAACCTATCCCCATGGTACCTACTGTATGTAGTAGATTCCATGGGATCAAATCAGAAGACACATTGTTGGATTGGACAAATGAGGGAGCAAATGGTGGGAGAATGGACGTGGATTTGCTGAGAGCAAAATAAATGCATGAAAGTAATTATTAAACCATAAAAAATCTAAGCATTTTCATGGCTTTTATTTCAGGTTTCATATAAAATTATAAAACTGCTGCAGTAGTTTCTCTGTACCTGAGTTTGGAACAAGTAAAAATGAGTTGATTTTCATTTGTTAAATCAGGGAAGAATTATATTTGTTTTCTTAATGTAGATAAAAATAGTAGTTGTAATTAAGGATTACTACCATAAAATAACTAGAGTGAAACTTTACTACATAGGACCAACTCACTTTTCTTATTTATATTCACAAGAAAAAGTATTTTTAATAAAAAAGGAAATCTTAAAAAAATGGGATCTGAAACACATGACATATAACCATAGATAATAATCTCTACAGATTGAGGTTCCCTATTAAATTTTCAAATATTCATTTTTCTACAAAATATATTGAGAGAACCTGATACCTGATTTTATAAATTGTGAAATATACTTCTTCTTCATTCTTCTCTCATACAATACATCTTGACTACAGCCTTCCTTCTCTCTACTTCCCCCAGTGGCATCCAGCACCTTTCCATTCTGCTGGATCCAATGTTCTTCCTCTCCCTTCAGAAAAGAGCAGATGCTCAGGGATATCAACTGAACACTGCATGATAAG